CAGGGGGGAGAATGTGTGTGTGTGTGTATGGGGGGGGCTGTTTTTTTAAATATGTTGCACTAATTAAGAGGTTAAATGCATCAGAATATGAGACACTTATTTAATTTATTTTGATTTTTTTTTTCATCACATAGAAAAATAAACATGGTTTAATTGTCAGCTCATACATAATGAGGTTTTGTTAGATGTGTTTAAGATACAGCATTTTACTTTCTGGTTTATTAATTGGCCAAATACTTCCAGTCCTCTGTGTAATGAATCCTTGGTTTAAAAATGAGGAAAGGGCAGATCGCTAACCCAGGGGAGGGCTACTGATATACACAGGCTGTGGTTTATCCTTCTGTAAAATCCTGTGGATAAAAAGTGACACTGTATTTTTTCCCTCTTTTTTTTTTTTTTTTTTTTTTAATGTTTTTCAGTCAGAATAACCTGGAAGCCAGGGAACATTCTGATATTTTGGGGATGTGGGAGAGAGAAAATGAAATGAACTGGGTTTGGTTTAATTTAAAACAAACCATTGTTTGAAAGGCATTTAGCAGTCAATTTTCACATCTGATCTGAAGTTGGAGTTTATTGTGCTCATTTAGTTGAGATTGTTGTTCAAGCGATTTCTGTATAAATTTTTGTAATTCATGTAACTACTTGGCTTCTTGAACCTCGGGAGCTGATTGTTTGTCTTATCTTTGGTGAGCTAACTCTGCGTTATGTTGCAAAACCTTGAGGCATGTTGTGTTTCTTCGTGTTCCTGCAGTCTGCAAGTGAAGTCAGCTTCATTAGTTTCATGATGGCACATCAGTGCATGGCTGGTGTTGCCGCTTCCTTCAAGCTACTCCCGGAGCATGATCTGGGCTGCCTTGGTTTGGATAAGCTTGTAAGGATTTGTCAGCCAGATGTGACAAGATTGTCAAGAGGCAAGTAAAGAAGGAGATCTGATATTAATCAGTGCATAGCTTGGAGCCAAACTTTCTCAAATGCAGTGTAGTAACATGTTCTTCTCATTTACTGCTTCTCTTTGTGGCTATAGAACTGCCACTGTCTGAATTTGACGGTTAAAAGGGATGCCAGCTAATAGTCTTTAATTGTAAGGATACAATTCTAGGTGGGAAAAGATCATATGCTTCTATTTTTAACATTCTTTTTGAAAATACAGTTCTGTTTACTCGTTTGCTGCAAAATATGCAAGTGTTACGTTAGAGTCTCTGTTTCTGTACTTTGGTTTTAAAATACTGAAATTGTGGCTCAGCTCTGAGCGCTGGAGGAGTGGGAGGCGGGGAGCCTCACTCCACTTCAGGTCATGGTGCAAAGTAGGACTAGCATTACTTTGAACTACTAACAACGGTGCGTGTTGGTTTTCTTTGTTCTAGTGATTAGAACAGGATACACTGAAGAATACCTTTCTAATTTCTTCTTTTACAGAAAAGGGAAAAAATACGGACTTTCAAAGAACTTACCACCTATATTTCATTATATCTATTTATCATGATGTATAGAATGCTAATAAGTTTTCATTATAATCAGTATAATTATGCGTTTCTGTTTGAATTAAGCTGGAGTTTTTACTATTTTGCAGCTTAATCAGACTTTTATTTTAACAATAGGTGAAAATGTAAAAAGTAACTAATGTTACAGGAAATACATTTATGTTGTACTTAAAATATGGATTTTCTGCTTGATTGATTTAAAAAAGTAATTGTTCTGTTTACTCTTTGAACTACTGAACCATCTAGAACCTATTCAGAACCCTAAAAATAATGGTATCTACAAATATATCCAAACCTGCAGGAGAGCTAAATCTTCACAGAAACAGGAAAAATTATTACAAATGTTGGGCCACTTCATGGGCTTTACTATAGCCGAGCTGAAATTCTGCCTACTGAGGCTGCAAAAAGGTTTGGCCTTTTCATACCAAACGTCTTGACTTCCAGCTTCCGTGCCTGTTCGTGACATTGTTAAAAAATCTGTTCATACAACATTGAGCATGTCGTTCCATTTCCAATCAAACAAGCCAGTGATTTATTTTACTTGCAGTAGTAAAGACTTCATTACTATAATACTAAATATGCCTCTGATGAGAACAGAAATGTTCTTATTTTATTTTAGATTAAAGCTTTTGCTATGCATATGTGTTTTAAAAACACCTTTTGTATCATTTGGCATTTGATAAAAATTTTCATACAGATTTGAGCTAAAATTCAGGTATGGAACTTGCATTCATTATTCCAGCGAAACATCCACCAGGGATGAAAAAAGCAGGGAAGAAAAGCTATTGTCTGGGCCCTCTGGGTCATCTCTTGCCCTTCCTGGCTTCAGTGGTGCAGGAACTCCCACAGTTCTTACGCGCTGGGCAGCCAGCAGTTTTTGTCCTAGCAGATGCTACAGCTGAAGTTTTACAGCAAGTGTCATTGTCTTTCGTCTTTTTTAGTTTTTATTTCTTATTATTTTATTGCTAATTTCTGTCTAAAAAAATCTGCTTAGGGACTGAAATTTCAGTATTCAGAGTCAAAAAAATATTACTGAGGGAATGAGGAAAAGTGAAAATTTCTAACAGACTTCAGTCATTTTAGAAAAAAGAGCGATGACATTTTCATTCCACATTTTAAAACCATGGTAGGATTGTTTCTTTAACCCCAAACTTTTTACTTCATATTTCAAGTACAGCTGATTATCAGTGAGAAATGGGTATTTTTTCATATGAAAGTAGCTATTTAAACTGATGTCTGAAAGCCATTTAAAATTTCCTCACCTGTGTTCAATAAAAAGGAATACTGAGTTTTAAATTGTGAAATTACCAATGGAGCTACACTGTTGCGTAAAATATTGCATAACTGTAGCACCATAGATAGTATCATGTGTGTGTGTACAAATACTGTTTGGGTTTAAAATTTATGAAATTGCACTAAATGAAATTGTGTAATGCTAACTGTTTGAATGCTGTTAGTTTTCTTTTATTCGTTATAGCTTCTCTCTGTAACAGGAAAAAAGGAAAAAAATTTAAGCATGCATATTTTATGGCTTTGAGACTTAAGCAGTAGTGTGAGGAGCTGAATAAGTTAGGATTGTCTTTGAAACATTAACTCACCCACATCGCGCACATACAACATTTTATAAACTAGGTGAAGAGTGAAAGGCATACTTTAAAGGGTTTACATATTTTAAAAGGCTTGCAGTTGATTTATACTAATATTCTTCATTTCTCTGATACATGTGCATCTGTGTTTATAACACTTATTTCTTGCTAACATAGGGCTTGGAGTTAAATATGTAATTAAACTTTAGTTCACGGATAGATCTGTAGTTTCAGAATTTAACGTGGTATGCATAGCACGTCAATATGGGTAAACAGTATGAGTGCAATTTATTTGCTAGATTAAATAGCATCTAGTGCTTTATCATAGAAATATCACACCATTTCTGTCCAGTGACTTATCGTTACCCCCAAAGCCTGAGCAGTTTTTCTCATCAGTATGCAGCAATCTGTTACTCGTTTTTTAAATGCACTAATAAGAATTTTTCCTGTAAATTTATTAAAAAGGGAAGTTACTTCAATATCTCGTGATAGATACTGCTTAATGCTCAGCAAAATGTAAGGGTTTCTGACCCTCACAGGCTAGGGCAGGTATGCAATGGGAACTCTGGCATTGTAGTCTGTTTCAGAATCAAAAGTAAGTAACAACTAAGATAATGATAATGTGACATTTTTCATTCCTCAATTTGTATTTCTTGTTTTCTTTTCCAAACTGAATGGTAAAAGAGGATCTAAATGTGTTCCTGAGTTTGACCAAGCTGTCTGTCAGCACACACCTGTTGTTAACAAGTGAGATTAATTGCAGCGTAAGCCAATGTATCTACAAGTACGTTGCTGAACAGCAAAATTAAGGTTTACTATCCGTGCTTCTTGTTTAAAGAGCAGCAGTCTGAGTGTGTGTGCTCTCTCTCTCACACACACACACACACACACAGACACATGCATTCTTTTCTCTTTATAATTATTTTGACAGTGCCATTAACAAGAGTTGCCCTAAGGGGCCCTTTAGGGTAAGTGACATGCATGAGGAGTGATTTTCATCCCGCAAGTTATGCTGTGATTAAAGTTTGGCCTTGTAGCGTGCTGCCTTTCTCAGAAACGGCTCCCTTCTGCTTCCTCGCCCCACTGCATTGCCCGAGACTGCCCAGATCTCCTCTCTGTTAGCCGCGAAAACTGCCGCTGAGCCCAAATTGGCTGTAGGGTTGTGAGTCTTTATTTAGTTTAGTCTCTCATCTCAGCTCCTAACTCTCAGGACTGTGCTCAAAAAAACTTTTTAACAAAGTGGTGACATGTGG